CATGTTCTTCTCATTTAGTGCCCTGAATATGCCTTGCCAGCCCTTCTGGCTTACCAGGTTTCTGTGGACAGGTCTGACATTATTCTGATGGTCCTTCCTCTATATGTAAGGAATCTCTTCCCCCTACCTGCCCTTAAGAAATCTTGTCTGAAATTATGATTCATGAATTTCACAATGAAGTGTCTGGATGTCTTTCTAGACTCATTGATTTGGACAGGGGGTGCCTTTTTGTCTCCAGGTCACTTGTTCCATTCCCCAGATTAGGGAAATTTTCATCCAGTATTTGTTCAACTATATCTTCTAGTCTTCTCTCTTTTTCCAACCCCTCTCTCAATAATTCTGACATTGGAATGTTTTATGGCATCATTTATTTCCCGAATTCTGTTTTCATGGCTTCTAAGTTGTTACAGGCCTCCTCCTGATCCTGCTTTTCTGTCAGTTTGTCTTCTAGTCTTCCTTATCTAATTCGGTCTTCTGCCTCAGTTACCCTAGCTGTTAGAGTATTTAGATTAGATTGGATTTCATTGATAGCATTTTTTACTTATGCCAGATCAGCTCTCACTTCCTCCCTTAGAGATTCTGTGCTGCCACTAATGGTCTTCTCCAACCTAGCCATTGCCATTGCCAATTTTTACCCTGAATTCCATTTCTAACATACTGTTTATGTCCATATCCAGTAGTCCTGTGACAGAAGTCGCAGTCTCTGAATTTTTCCTCTGTTGGGTGCTCTCCTCCTAGTTATTTTGGTGAGAGGTGATTGAGTGATGTATAGCTCTCCATGGATGATCTCCTGTCCCCACAGAGATCCAGAAGTGTTTAATCTTACATCTCAGGCTTATTTCATGTGTGTTCAGAGTGTTCTGGTAGATATTTAGCTTACTTCAGGGGACTGGTTGAAACAGGGTCTCCTACTTCTCTGCCATCTTGCCCTTCCTGCTCTCTTTTTTTTTTTTTTTTTTAAGATTTTATTTATTTATTTGAGAGAGAGAGCAAGCCAACAAGCAAGAGAGAGTGGGGTTGGGGAGGGACAGAGGGAGAGAAAATCTCAAGCAGACTCCCTGCTGAGGATGGATCCCACTAGTGGGGCTTGATCCCAGGACTCTGAGGCCATGACCCAAGCAGAAATCAAGAGTCCAGAAGCTTTGCAGAAATGTCTAACCGACTGACCAGCCAAGCACCCAAAAGGCTAATACATTTCTGTCCTCCACACATGAAACCCTTTTAACACTGATTGCCTTAAGATGTGACATGCTGAGCATGGATATGTAGGAATAAGAAAGTCTTGGTGCTGCCTAGGCATACAGCACAAAGCGGTGTTACAGGTCCTCCTTCCAGCCTTCCCTCTGAGGACTGGTCATCATGGGAGGGAGCACAGTATGGCCTGGCTTTCTCCCCTGTGTTTCCCCTTGCTTCCAGCAGAGTAGATACACTGGTGCTCTAAGGGCAGTTCAGGAGGCATAACTGAACCATGAAGTATGAGAGGCAGCATCTGCTGTAGGCGAAGCTTGGTCACAGTCGGAAACGACAGCTGGCATGTTTTTCTGCAACACTGATGTTGCCTCTAGGTTCCAATTTGCCAAACTATATTCTTTTATTCTTTCAAATTTGGCTTATTGCTTCCAACTTCTTTAAAGCTTTTAAAATCTAGCCTTAGTTACCCAGTATCCTCTCTCTCCTACTGCCCTTTCCCATCACTTTTGCCATTCCACCACTTTGCTGTCCATACAGTGAGCTCTTGACCAACTTTGCATTCTTTAACAACTATTTAGGAAGGAAATGGCTGGCATCTTACCCTTCCTTCAGCCATCTATATAGGTATGGGTAACATGAATGCCTGCAGTCATCTTTGTAAGCAACCTATAACATATACAATACATACAATAATGTAACAAGAAGAAAATATAGATTCCATTATCCTTTATGCAGAATTAACTCAATATGAGTAGTTAGATTTTAGAGCAAAAAAAAAAATTGTCTCTAGCCATTTAGTAAGTATGACATGGAAAGAGTTGAAGAAGTGTAAAATACCTAGATTGTTTGCTCTGTGCATCACTAGGGGTGAGAACACTTTTCGTTACTGGTTAACAACAGAGGTCAACCTGAAACTTATTAAGAAGAAGGCACTTCAGTGGCATTTGTTTTCTGAGGTTTGAAAAAAAGTTTCGGGGTGTGGGGGGTGTAGTGTGCTTGGGTGGTACAGTTGGTTAAGTGTCCAACTTGGTTTTGGCTTGGGTCCTGATCTCAGGTTCATGAGATGGAGCCCTGCATCATGGTCTGCACTTAGCAGAGAGTCTGCTTGAGATTCTCTTTCTTTCTCTCTCTCTCCCTGTGCATCACCCCTCATCCCCCACCACTCTCTCTCTCACTCTTTCTCAAATAAATAAATAAATCTTAAAAAAAAAAAAAGGAACAAGATTCTCTTTGGTTTTGGTTGCAACCTACCTTTAAAATGTTTCTCTTGGTAGATCAGAGATATATAAAAAGCAGCATTTCATATGCAGAGTAACAGATACTCAGAAACTGGGTAATACTTGAAAATATAGCTCAACTGTGTTATTCCAGAAACCTTAAGTTAGAGAAGTCTGTGATAGCACTGCAAATATCTGATCTCTGTTCAACCTCTTGTACGGTTGCTGAGTTGGCCATCTACGAATAATGACTTGGACTGCATGACCTCAAAGATTTTTTACAAATCTATACTTCAGCATCTGGGGGTCTTGATTGGGAGCACAATGAATGTCAGTATTTTAGGAGCTTTGAGGGCAGAAACTATTATATTATTGATTTCTATGCCCGAGGAGTAGATACACTGGGCAGAACTGATAAAATTTTCTTGTGCAATTACATACACTTATATTTTGAGCTAGGGTATCAACAGGGATGAGGCAAGTGCATTGAAGGAGTTAAGCAATTTGTTTATATGATCTATTTCATTAAATGACCTACCATCGAAGGTACCATAAATAATATTTTTTTCACCTTTGGAAATAACATCCATTTAGCTCTTGACTTATTTCGACAATGATTGAAATTGTAATTCAGTGAGTGCATAATTGTTGACGTACCTACAAAGCATCAGGTAAACTAAAGGTCAGTTAAATATTAGAGAAAAGCCCAAAGGTAGTTGTAATTTAGTGTTTTTAAATAAAATTATTTACTTTGATTGTAATTTCTATAACAGCTTCAGTGTATTATAAGATATTTAAGAACCTTAAAATACGTTTAGTTTTATGGATCCCAATTTGGCTCATAATCCATATGCCTTCTAGCTCCCAGGTTCTAAGACCTTGGACTAGTCACTTTGCCTCCTTGTGCCTCAAACCCTTCCAAAGGAGTTTACATTGTAGCTGTCCAAAGTTCATATCTACAACTAAGATTAAGAGTTTTATTTTCAAGTACGCTGTAAGTGTATTGAGTAAAGAGTCTCACAACAGGGGTGCAAGCCATTCATTATCTTTTGTCATGAAATAAATACGCCTTTGCATTCGGTACCCTTTTCTTTCCATAAACATACTTCACTTACTGAGCTATCTGCATAAGTCCTATGATCTGCTGCTCTCTGACACCGGCCTTTCTCTAGCCTACTGGAATGTCAGACATATTTTGTTGTTTAAAAATTCTTTAAAATAACCAGTTATTCCTAAAAGATCATTGTAATGGTTAGGTGTACTACGACTTGTTTTATGAGTGATTTTCGTTCCATAATGATTTGTTTCCCACAGAAGAATTATTTTTCCTCTTTATATGCTGGGGAGTGCTGGAGATGAGTTCCACTAAATATGAAATGAAACTGTGCCTACTTTCACTCAGCTTAATGGTTTTGAGTTTCATCCATACTGTTGCATATATTAGTAGTCTCTTCTTTTATTTTATTACTGAGTAATATTCTGTTGTGTGGATGTACCACAATTTGCTTATCTGTTCACCAAGGGATGGACATTTAAGTTATAGTTTTCAGTGTTTATGAATAAAGCTGATATAAATATTCACATATAGGTATTTGTATGGGCATGTGTTTTCATTTCTCTTAGGTAGTTCTGAGACACATGTGGGTGTATGCATTACTATATAAGAAACTGTTAAACTCCTTTCAAAGTGGTTGTACTATACTACATCCCCACCAGCAATGTCTGGCAGCTCTAGTTGCTTTGAGTCCATGTCAATCCTTAATATTGATTGATGGTTTATAATTTTATTTTTGATTTTAGCCATCCTACTAGATCCTGATTCTCTTGCTATCTCCTTAATGATATTCTGGGCATCTTTGTGGTCCTGTGAACCTCTTTTCTCTCATTAGGCTGACAATTTAGCTAAATGTTTTTACTAAGTCATGCACATTTGTTTATGTGGAATCAGGTTCTCCATCAAGTGGAGCATAGCTAGGAGTCAGGTGTTCTGAATTGCCTTTTGTCAGCAGGTTGAGTTGGTTGGAACCTGATACTAATGACTCTTCAGGATTAATAAAGTTAAGTCTACTTGATTGCAGAGACTGCTCCTATAATCCTGTATAACTGCTTCATACTAGAACCCTTTTTAACAAAGTACTCCAAAGAGTAAATGCTTCAGTGGAAATTTACCATCAACGGAGAAAAACCTTAAGCTGCATATTCAGTTATTATTCAAACAACTCGCTAGGAAATGGAGAGAGTCAAGCTGAACAACAACAGGCTAACGGACTTTTAATTGAAATGTCACTTTCACTATTAAACAAAAAAAGCCATTGCTATGATGTGTGATAAAAGTTGATGGTGTCCTATTTCTTTGTGTGGAATTGCTTTTCTCTCATCACTGACTTAATTTGATTGCAACACTTTGTCAGCTGTCATGTTTGGGTTCCCTCAGCTGCAAACTATAGATAATGGGAGTCTATGCAATTTAACAATCATGCTCCAACATTTGGTGTCTTATAATCAAGATGAACTAAGAATTTTATTTCCCCCCCATGACTTTGGAATAATAAAGCTCAAAGCTTTCTTCTTCATCTGTCCTGTTTTTTACAGGTGGCTTGTTTAATATCTTGCATTCTTGTCCTGATAGTCATCTACGTGGTAGGACCCTTGCTTTACTGGCTGCCCATGGTACAGTAGTACTTTTTCATTATCTACTTTTTAACTTTACTTTTAATGAAATCATTGTATATTAAAATGTCTTAGAAGAGTAGTCTCAATGGCCCTACATCTGAAAACCATGTGACAGAAGTAATGATTGAATGGGATGGGGGGTTGGACAGAGACCACATTTGATGGGGGAAAAATGGGAAGAGACCGTGGCTGTTTTCTGTTTCTTAGGCTTATGTGTTAAAACGGCATTGTGGAATTAGATTTATTCTGTGCTTGTTTGGAGGGCAGAACTGGGCAATCTCTGGTGTAAGGCACAGACTTTGGGAGAATTTTATCAGAACTCGGACTGTTAGAAAAATGTGTGTAGGGCAAGCGAGTAAGGAACAAAATACATCTTGCCACCCTTGATATCTTTATACAAAGTGACCCAGAGCACCACTGTGCCATTCATAAGTCTGGGGCACTGAAGTGACCTTAAGATCCTGGTCTTCAGAGAGCCAGAGATCATCTCATTCCTGTCTTAATTCTTCATTCATATAGTGAGTATCAATCATTTCCACAGCAGATCTTCTAATAATCAAGTTCACTTTTCAAGAGAGTTATAAATATCCACATGTGATACCAGATCATTGGTGCTGAAGGCAATTATAAAGAAATATGTAATATAAATATTTAATTTTTTTGCAACAAACTTCAAACGGCAGTGGCTAATTAAAGTTAAGAGGACATTTGGTTTTATAACATGCATCCTTATAATTCATTACTTTTCTTTTCTTTCTTTCTTATGTTTTACAATGGCATAAATTTTATACTGTGATTTTCTAGAATTGATATTATATTCCTAAAGTACAATAATAGGTTAGTTCTAAACAAAATGAATATTGCTTTAGTCTTCTAAATGGTGATTGCTTTTCTCTAGTAAGTACTTCAAAAACAAAGGCATAAAAATTCTTTGGTGTTTTTAAATTCAGATTAAAATCTTTATCTTATTTCTTCATCAACTTATTTCCTATTTGTAGTGTGTTCTTGCAAGTATTATTGTTGTGGGACTGAAGGGAATGCTAATACAGTTTCGAGACTTAAAAAAATATTGGAATGTGGATAAAATTGATTGGGTAAGTAGAAATTTGACCTAAAATTTCCTTCTTTGGCTTTAACATGCATTGCAAAATCAACTGTAATATTTTTATTTGCAGAAAATGGTTTTGGCCATTTGAAACTTGTACACTTCATAAGCTACCATTTATTTTCTAAGTTCTTAATAAAGTCATTAAAATATGGAAAGTAAACTATTTTTGTAAATATATAGACTATAAAATAGAAAATATTCATTTATTTGAGGTATATAAAAACAGAAATGGAATTTTGTCAAATTTTGATTGAAGTGTTGTTTGAGAACTTTTAATGAAATCCTAACTAACTTGAATTAGGGATTCTCAGTTTCCATTTTGAATTGATTCTGGAAATGAAGCTCATCAAGGAAGCACACACTAATAGAACACATATGAAAAACTATCATTAATTGCTAAGAAATGTGTTGCATTAATATAGGTTGAACATCTTAACAGTGACCATATTCCTTCTAAATATAGTCTCATGAACTTAGTTTTAAAGGGCTTACATTGGGAGGAGCGTTATGTTAATAGGATGTTGCCAGCAAGAGATTAAATATTACTGATCAATGATCAAGTGTGGCTTTTACTAACAGAAATGTTTAACATACATATTCTAGAGAAATGTATCTATGCAGGAACATACAAAATACTTTACGTTTCCAATATAGGTGAAGTATTTCATAAGTACCCTTTATTTAGCTCTATCATGGCATTCACCATATTGAAATGCAGTTGTCTATATATTTCCCCTCCTTTAGATTCTTTGCTCAGAGAGACTTTGGGGGGATTATTTGGGCTGGTGCCTATTTTCATAATATATCTCCCAAGGCTCAGTATTACTCTACCAAAGTACAAGGCTGGGTGCCATGGGGAATTCAGAGATAAATAAAGAACTATTTGTCTCCTCCAGACGCTTATATTCACTTATATATATTCCAGAATATTTGTGTAGAAGCAGACATAGAAACATCAACTTACTATGCAAAGCATGATACAATATGACCTGGAAGCAAAAGTACAAGTTTAGTGCTGGGGGGAAAAATGGAGGCTGGAGCATTTAATTTGGACTGGTCCAAATGAAAGAGTCTGAAAGCTGAAATGTGAACTGAGACTTGAAGGAACAGTATTTGATAGGCAGGCCAAAGGATTAAAATTAGCCAGACTCATGGAGGATCATGACTTTTTAAAGGTGATATGTTTGAGATAGCACATGGATATAGAGAAATTAGAGGATGCAGACTTACTGAACAAGCTATTTGATAACCCTCTGATAAAGGTATTTCTAAGGAATGCATTAATTACATAAGAGGGAGCACATTACCATATTGGAAGGGGAGTGATGTCAGGGAAGGCTTTTTCCAGGAAATGATGGGTAGAACATCTAGTGTGAGGGTGGGAGTAGTGACAGATGGGGTTGCAAAACTTAAGAATGAGTTGGACTTGGAAAGGCTGCTAATGTTGTGCAAAGAAGACTAGACTTCATTCTGAGGGCAGTGAGACATCATCAAAAGGTGATGAGTCTCAAATGCTTTCCCACAGGACTTTTTAGACCTGGTGCTATCTGCAGGTATTGAGGGATAAGACAGAGAAATCGCAAGTTAACATGATTTTTTTTTTTTTGTATTTTATGTGAATTAGTTTTTCTGCATGGATGTTCAGTGAAGTTCTTTCTTGCCATGATGTTTGGTAATATTATCAGAATATTTCTTGTGGTTGAACACCCAGCATCAAGTTTCTATGAGAGTGATGTGTCCTTTTGATCTCAGAATTAAGGATTATATACAAGGTTGAAGTGGACAGGTGTTTTTTAGTTGCTAAGGGATTTAACAGTGAGAAGCCATTGATGATTGGGGTACAACCTGGGCATTGCATTTATAGTGAGACTATTGCACAGACTTTTTTGGATATAGATGATATTACCCAGTAGACAGAATATGTCCAGATTACTCAATAGATACCTAAAATATCATGGAAGTGAAGTTACCAAAGATGTGTATATATGTAAAATAATTTGAAGGTTGAAAGTTTAAGAAAATCATGTAAGGAGTCCTCACATGAAAAGTCAGAAATTTTTATTACTTTAAATTGTTTAGAGTTGAATAACGATTCCACTTTGAGCTGTAGATCAAAACCCTCTCTGAGGTAATGAGGAAAGAGGAATCCAAAATGGAGACCATGGGCTCTGAGCTGAGTTTGAGTAACTGAACAGTGGGAATAGAATTCACATCTACAGAAATATAATAATGTCTATCAATCACCAGAACAGATCAAGAAGAGGTGAAGTGATTGAGTAGCTGCTCAAATGTATAAGGGTTTATGTGTTTATGTGTTTCCTACTTGAGGTCCGCTTTGGAGTTAGCTTGTGTTTAGGGGCTGTGAGTGCTAATAGAGGAGGGATCAAGTGGGAACACATAATGAAAAAAATAGGAGGCTGGGAGTTAACTAATCCCTTATAGCTGTGACAACAAACATTTGGATCTTTAATAGATATTGTTACAGAATAGTGATGGGACTTATGCTAAAAAATGGAACTGTATACTGGCTATGTTGTTAATTTACATTTGGTATTTTTTTCAAAGCTATAAATGTAGCCCCAGGAAATAACTAAGCATTGTGAACCCAACTTACAATAGATGATATTGTGGGAGAGTAAATATGCTTTAAAAATAGAACCAGATGGTACCAAAATTTTTGGTTGCTCTGATGAATCATGGCCTCTGGGCTCTGTGGTTTTTTTAAATGGTAGGAACCAGGATCCTCAGTTCCCTATGCTATATTGAATCATGGAGGTTGGCCATGAGGAATTGGACTTATAAAGCTTTCGGGTAAAATCTTATTCTGCCACACCCAGGCGGGTCCAGTAGGCATTAAGGGATGAGTAAGAAACAAAGCAATCATGGCAAGTTGAAGTAATGATCAAAAACTTGCAGCCTTATTTTGTATGTGATGAAGCATAATGTAATTCATTTGGGGGGAAAATTACACTGTATACATATAAAAGACTCAAATGATTGTCTTTTTGCCTGAATAGAGGAAAAACATCTCAATGTCTAACCTATGAGATGACAGGCTGAGGATGATGTCATAATAAGTCCTAACTTAGCATTACATTTCTTGGTGATGGATCTGAACATGAGAAAACTCAAAACATATTTTCTCTTTTTACTTCAGAATGTTTGTTTCTTCTATATCAAAAAGAATTTTATACATAAAAATCCCTCCATTTGCTTTCAAGGGCTTGGCTTTTCTAAATAGCCCATCACAAGAACCACTCAAGCTCCATTTAGTTAAATAATACAAAGGAGAAGCATTTTGAGTAAAAAATGCTATTTAGAAACATTCGCTTCAAACTTGTCTCACCCCGCCCCACAAAAATCTGTGCTATCTTCAGATTATAGAGAAGTTTCTAACTTTTTCATTTGCATATGAAATTGAATTAGGTTGTTGAAGATGTTTTAAAGTTCTAATGTAGCCATCTGGACAGAAAGAAATTAACTTTAGAATTGTATGCATAGGTAAAAGTGATGCAAATAATTTAGGGAAAAGAGAGAGCTTAAACATTTTGTTAGTCTACTATTTAATGAATGCAGGATATTGTGTTTAGGAAATATAACCTCCTGGATTTCACAAATTATTTTGCTTTTAAAGTTTTTTTTTTTTTGCCAACAATAAACTTAGAAATGTCAACTATAATACAATATTTTGTGATAGATTGTCATTTCAGGAGGTAGACAAAACAGTAATAATGTTGAATAATGTTGGAATCCCAACTAAAGGAGAAAAATAATTTTCTTGCCATCTTTTGAAATATGCCCAAGGCCTAAATTGGCCCAGAATTTTCAGCTTTCACAATGTCATAAGAAGTCGCCCCTTGCAAATAAAATTATAACAATCTTTATAGTGGCTGATCTAAAAGTGTCATTGGTAGTGTTAGATTTAATCATTTTAACTGTTAGGCTTTGAGGGTCTTACGTAGTAATAAACTACATTAGTTCTTTGTATAACAATCTTAGAACACAGGCATTGTGGGGAATGACCAAAAATCTGCTAACAATTGTTTGTAATATTACATTAAATGAGAAAATAGTGGGAAATTATGGCATGCTTTTGAACCATACACATCAACCAAATATTTACAGATCTGAAAGGAAGTGTTGTTGGGGATTGAACTAGTAGGGGCTGGCAGTTTCTAGAAATGAAAGAATGTGTTTTTTCCCCACTTTTGCTGCTGGGAGTCTGATGGGACCAGGATTTGTCTCTCTGTCCCAGGCTTCTGTTTACCCCTTTTTAAATAATATATTCTTCCTGAGAGATTTGGTCACAGGAATGTTGTAGAATAAGATTGTGAGGAATTTAGCGATCATGAGAAAGATGAGAAATTACTAAAGGGTTTGTATCTCCTATTTCCTCCTTCTCTTTCAGGGCATCTGGGTCAGTACATATGTATTTACAATATGCTTTGCTGCCAACGTGGGGCTGCTGTTTGGTGTGGTCTGTACCATAGCTATCGTTATCGGTCGCTTCCCAAGGTAAGATCTTACTTAAATGCTGTCTATTTTGACACAGCAGCAAAGTCAACGATATTGCCAGTTACTTTTATTACTGTGGAATATTGATTGCTATGCTCATGTTTTAGTTGGTATCAGAGAATTAGAGATGAAAGGAAAAGATTTCTCTACATACAATATATAACAATTTTGGTCTTAATGAAGAGACTTATCTTGTCCACACTATAAAGTAAAACATAAAATCTATCAAAGTAAATAAGTTAACCCATACCCATACACTGTGCCGCAGAGCTGTTTTTTTTTTTTAATCAAGTGAAGGTGATATATTATGCAGTGACTACATAAAATTTAATCATTTAGAAAATTGAATAACTTCAGTAAATTTTTCAGAAGCCAGATTTATATATATATATATAATATACATAAATATATATATAATATACATAATCATTTATTGAAGAACTAGATAATTTATTAAAGATAAGTTAGATAACTTATTGAAGAGCTCTAGATAATTTATTGAAGATTTCTACTGAACATCTGTAAACCATTCCCCTATTTTGGTCAGTTATTTTTCTACTTTGAGTGTTCATCACCTGATAATGCTTCTACTCATTTCTCATCCTTCCCTTGAAATTCTTTGTGAAATAATATACTTCAAAAACATTTTAAGTTTTACCTCTATAGATTCTATAAAGAGATTTCTGTAGAAATCTGCGTAAATTCATTAGTATCTGGTCCTATCTTGCCACTGATTCCCTCTTTACTTCTTTTTCCCCTAAAACAAGATTTTCCCAAACACTATCCACTCTCTTATTACGCTTTTGGTCAATCTACCTCTTGTGGCTTGGACATATGGGGTTCTGGGCACCCAGATGAGGTAAATTATATTGGTTAATTTCTACCTAGATGTCTCCAGTGTTACTCTCTATTCCTGAGGATCCCAGAGAAATATAGATTTACCAATGTTTTATGAACAAATGGGATGTAGGATTTTAACCATTACAGATAAGTTCTATTTGTTAAAATAAAATGACATCCTTTTTACATTTTCATTGCTAATGTAGTGATTCAGAAATGCCATTTTATTTTTATCTGACTGAATTCTAGGGCAAAGACTCTGAGTATAAAAAACATGAAAGAAATGGAATTGAAAGTGAAGACAGAAATGGATGGTGTAAGTTTCTTTTTCTTTTCCTTTGTGTAATTATTAAAAATTTCTGTAGTTCAGATAGTTTTAAGGTATCATAAGTAGATAATGGATTTTAAGTAGATGATGATTTTAAATTCATGATAATTTTATTTTTTATTGGCATGAACTTTCCATGGTATCTGTGACCACCATACACGTGGCAGTTGACATGCAAAAAATCAACAGAACAACAACAAAAAATCTTGTGTTAGCATTCCACTGAGATGATAGTCATAGAACTACAGTTCACAGTGGAATCTTTGTCCAGATTAGTTCAGACATTTGAAACGTCTTCCATTTGCTAAGTTGCATAAAATAGTCAAACTAGACAAATAGTCTATTCTGAATTAAATCATGGAAGAAGATAGGGAATAAAGAAGAGAATAAAGCAAGGTTGGATCATGGTTTATTTTTTTAAAACACAATTAGATTGCAGTACTAGCAGAGGGTAATTAAGTCCAATGGTTATGGAATGCTAATAGAATTGGTTTCTTGTGCAGTGGACATCTTTTTTAAGGAAACAGCTTATGGAAATAGTCTTGCCTGTGCATGTTTGAGCAGGCCAATTGTGTTTGAGTTCTATTCTTATATAACTTATATGTTCTGAAGGATGGCCAAAACAAGTTTAAGGTGAGGGGAAGATGTTGACTTAAATATTTTGCCAATTTAAAAAAATTGTCTGCACTTTGAACCTGCTTTGTAAATGTTTGACTAACTGTTGTCCCCGCCCCCCTCCCCAACCTCTATTTATCTTATTTACTTGTTTCGGTACCTCATGATTGCCTTCAGAACAAAGAGAACAGGCATTCCACCAGAAGGACCTATTGTCAGGGTATTTCTGAGTAGACTGGAAGTAGGAAGTAGCACCAGGAGTCCTTCTGTGACATGCAGGGAAATGGCACACATGTTTACACATGAACATGCACATGTGTGGTGTGTGTGTGTGTGTAAATTGAAGAATAATTAGCGTATACTATTGTATTAGATTCAGGTATATAACATAGCGATTCAGTATTTATATACATTATGGCTTGTGTTTTTAATAAGTGTGAAAAAGTTTTCTTCATAGAGAGCTATTAGAGTCCAGAGCCCTAAGAGTGTCCCAGGCTCAAGTTTTCCACCAGTGATGCCTTTCTTTTCTTTCTTTAAATTTTCCATGAGAATTTAGTGCTCACACAAAGTCCTAGACTGGCTCTTGGGCCCGTAGAAGCCTCTGTGTATCCACTCTACACTCTACTCTGTGTATCCTTCTCTATGGCTATACACATTACCCTTGACATTTGTAGCTTGGAAATAGAATTCCAGTTTGACCATTTTTCAGCTTAAAGATTATGCAGAAGAATAAGTTCTGTCTAATCTGTTCCTTCTTTCCAGGTTAAACATATGGGCAAATGAATGAGAGGATTTGTAGGAAGATAAAAATGCCAAAATTCACACATCTTTAAACATTGGTTCCAGTATAGTCACATACCTGAATAATAACTGTGTCATATGGAAATGTTAGTTTTCTTGGAATATTATCTTCACTAATTATTTAATATTTTGTATTAAAAATAAGAGGGAAAGAAAGCTCAGAGCAAAATTTGTTTTTATTTAATTGTATTATGTTAGTCACCATAAAATACATCATTAGCTTTTGATGCAGTGTTCCAAGATTCATTGTTTATGTACAACACCCAGTGCTCCATGTAATACGTGCCCACCTTAATACCGACCACCAGGCTCACCCATCCCCCCCCAAACCCTCAGTTTGTTTCTCAGAGTCCACAGTCCTTCATGGTTCATCTCCCCCTCCTATTTCCCCCAATTCACTTTTCCTTTCCTTCTCCTAATGTCCTCCATGTTATTCCTTACGTTGCACAAGTAAGTGAAACCATATGATAATTGACTTTCTCAGAGTGAGATTTGAACATGAGCTGTTTAGGTGGAGTTTTTAGCCAACTTCAAGCATGGCAATGGTCCACCACTCCCTTCCTCTGTTCATGCTCTCCCACCTCTTCATATGAAACAAATGTCCTTGACTTGGGGGAGACCTCTTTTGGAGTGAACTCAACCCCATTTAGAATTTATTTTCTAACACAATTTGAATCTTTATTCCTAAGCAAATACCTGTTTTTAAAAAAGTTAACTTAAAGCAGCATATTGGCCCAATCATGTGGTATGATTGGTGGGTTGATCTTCAATGTGGGGCTTTTTTTTTTCCCAAAGATTTTATTTATTTGACAGAGAGAAAGAGAAGGAGTGAATAAGCAGGGGGGAGCACCAGAGGTAGGGGGAAAAGCAGGCTCTCTGTTGAATGGGGAGCCCAATGCTGGTCTTGATCCCAGGCCCCTGGGATCATGACCTGAGCCAAAGGCAGACACTTAGCCAACTGAGCCACCCAGGTGTTCCTGATACGGGGGCTTCGTGATAACTGAGTATTACAAGCCCGGGAATTATTTTATTTTTGGTTTGTAAGAGATTTACTCTTTTTAAGAAAGGTTTTTTTTTTTTTTAAATTCCAGTGAGTTAACGCACAATATTATATTAGTTTCAGGTCTACAATATAGTGATTCACCCCTTCCAACATCATCTGGTGCTCATCACAGGTGCCCTCCTTAATCTCAGTCACCTATTTAACCCAACCCCTTATCCTCCTCCCCTCTGGTAGCCATTGGTTTCTTCTCTATAATTAATAGTCTGCTTCTTGATTTGTCTTTCTCTGTAAGAGGTTTACTCTTGATTGAAAGTTAATCTGATAATGTAAGGTTTTTGCTTTCTGGAATAGTTTATTTGTAGCAAATCTCACTTTCTAGAGTTTAATCAGTTGTGTAGCCATAGAAATGTTTTAAGACTATGTGGTTTAAAAATGTACCTACTTAGAAGATGAGGAAGCTGAAGAGTAACACCTAATATTTTCTTTATTTCTCTGACTGTATGCTTCTCTATTCCCTGGGTTTCCCCTTTATGCACGTACTAAAGCCTGAAGGAGTATCTCTTTATTTAATTGGTAAGGAGTTATTTCATAGAACTTAACCTGCTTCTTGATTTCTAGGTCAGACACCTGCCCCAAAGATCATGGAGAGCATGATTTCAGGTGCATACAACCAGTTGGTGCCAGGAAGACCTAGGCGGTGACCAAAGCAGGCACATTTTGTTTGGAAGCTTTTTATCCTCCTTTCCTGCATCTCTTACTTGCATCCTGGCAGTCTGGTGTAACCCAGGCCTGCCCCAAGTGAAACCAAATTCCCCATACTTCCTCTTGGTTTCTTTCTTCTAGTTAGGACTATTGAAGCTTGTAAGGTTATAACTCCAGCCAAAAGAAAGCTATGTCTTTATGAGGTAAATGACTGAGAGTTAATCCTTTAGGACAGATTTTCATTAAAAAAACCTGATGGTCAGGTGAATGGAATTTTGATTTCTAGATTATATGGAAGAGGTACTTTTGGGAAGACAGGGTTTCCTGACACTCTTTGGATATCCTAGGGTGTTGTTTTCCTCAAATCAATAGGAATAAGGGCCATTTTCTGAAAAGATCCAGGATCATCTCATAGTTATTAATGCTTTTTAGTAAAGAGGAAGTACATGTTTTTCCTAAGAAGCATGATAATATACTAATTTCTCTAAATAAGTTATAATAATGACAACCTTGGCTAAGAAATTGCTTCCATCATTGAGTGATATTTGGATTTATAAGATTTAGATTCTTTGGATAGAGTTATCCTCTTATTTCATTCAGAATTCTGAATTTATTCCTGTTCTCCTCCAAAAGGAAACCCTGCAGCAGGTGAAAATTGTCTCAATAAACAACCCTCTTGTTTTCCTGAATGCAAAGAAGTTTCATACTGATATAATGACCATAATCCAAAAAGAAAATGTGAGCAACCAGCTACTGGATGATGTCAGCAAGGTAGGATCAGCTAGCTCATGATTACAATAATGTACTACAAATAACCTTATATCATGATACTAAGACATGAATCATGAAATATAACACATTATAAGAGTGCTTGGAGACCTCTCCCTCAGCAAAGCCTTCTGTTGTATTAAACTTTTCATTTGGTTCTTGTAGTTAGTTTTTAGGTAATTACTCTCATTCATCCACTCATTCCTTCCCTCAGCATATATCTAGTGGACATGTATACTAGTTACTATAGCCCTGAGAAGAATGAATAAACAAATTACTTACCCTAAAGGATATTTTTACCAAGAGAAAGAAGAGTCAGATCCAAATCTTAAAGAGATAGAATATGATAAATGACTTCAGCGATGGGTTAACTGTTGCCATATTATTTAATATATAATATGGCATTATATATTATAAAATATATAATATCTTATAATAATATTACTGTTGTAATATTATTATAAAAAACTAGCATTCTTTTTCTGCACAAGTTATCTTCATTAACAGAGATATCAAATGTGCATCAGGTTGATTATATGTAAATAAGCTATCTGTGATTATTTGAATCCTTAAGCCCTTAAGCATGGACTTTGGAGAGAAGCTGTCTAGGTTAACATTGATGAGCTGTGGGAAATTAACTGAGTTATTAAAACTTCTGTGATTCAGTTTCCTGATCTATAATCAGGATGATTAAATGAGTTAATATATACAAGGCACTCAGAATAGAGTCTGGCCTACTCAATACTATAAAATTTTAACTAATATTATTAGTTTGAGCACAAGTAGTACCCTCTCCATGAAGCTTTTCCTTGACTACTTCAGATTACACAAGTCTCTTTTTCTTGTGTCTTTGAGTGTATATTATCCCATCACTCCGGTACCTAGGAAGTATTGACTCTCCCATTTCTAGCATTGCAGAAGCTGTCTAGTAACACATTCCTGATCCTTGCAGCTTTCTGCTTCTGGGCCTCATTCTGATCTACCCCACAGAGGTCCTAAACACAGGATCAAATATATTATATGCTGGGCACGGTGCAAAGTGAAAATGTGAGGTCCCTTGTTCAATAATTATTGAGTTTCAAGATGGCATTCACAGAGCATTAAATCAAGTAGGAGACCCTTCTAAGAATGGAACCCTGTATGACCACACAGGTTGCAAGCCTATGAGACTGGCTCAGTCTGCATATCTCCAGCTCTGTCTTTTCCTCTCACTCTACTCTTTAGTATGTCACTTTCATCAGATTACTAGGAACCCTACCTGTGATTTTGGGTTGAGAAGAACTTGCACTCATGCCTAAGATGGACATCATTCCTAGTTGTTCAAGTTGGATACAAGGCCTCTTTCTTTTATAAAGCCATGCTTACTTCATAGCAATGTTTAGCTCTATTATGAGATAGTCAGGTTCTTGTGTCTGATGTAAGTTCACAACCACCATACACGATAATATTGTGGGAAAATTTGTCCACAGTTCCAAATAACCTAATTAACCCATAAGAAACATGTAGTCTTATTTTACCAAAATGTAAATTTACTTCTTGGAATGATATGCTCCTTTGTAGGCTTTATCATGACTAGTAGAGTATCCGACATGAATATTCTTATAACCAGTTATTTATTGGTAGTTGATAGTATTTTCCTGAAAGACAAAGGTTTGTTCCAATGTGTTTTCAGAAATTGAAAGATGGCATATGGTTTATCTCGTAGCATATGAAGTCAGAAATAAACCTCATTAATGCAGCCTTCTGGGAAGAGGTTCCACATACATGATTTTACCTACTTGAGTCTAATAATCAAGTAGAGTTCATGGAATCTAAGTTATTGGTACATAATGACATCCAAAGGGATTCTTTAACTCAGAACTCCGTGGTGGTAAGAAAGGATTTCTTCAGAGTATGTTTCACTGTAATGAGAATAATGCAAATATTCTGTATTAACAGACTGTGTGAGTTTTAAAGGATACGCTAAGGATGCACATGGTAATCTGGAAGCTCTGCTGTCTGAGGGATCAAGGATAAACCTTTATTCAGAATGGTTAAACGGATGGTCTTGAGTAGCACAGATGTTCTTGGGGACATCTCATATTATTCTAATCATACACTGTCTGGGGTATCTACTTCTTGTTTTAAGGCCTGTGCTTGTTCCAGTTTCAGTTTTAATGTAACGAGACAGCATCAGTTAATTTCTACTACAGATTTGCCTCCTTTTGCTGCACTTTATACAGGGGTCCACAGTTCTTTCTTAAACTGGGGTGCTCTGCTGGGGTCTTGGTCTTCTCTTCCAGCCTCATTTTCAACAGATGGCGGTGATGGGAGGGCATTTAAAACACCCTAGGGCAAGAAGAATCATACTGTATTCAAAACACAAACTGATAAAGGATTTCCTGTTTTGTCATACTATGACAATATATTTCCTATATGTCATCATTAAATATCTTCCTGAATGTAGAAGCTTAGGAGGATCTCAGTGTCCTAGTGTTTATTAGATTCATGGTCATTATTATATAGGTTATATATAGAAACTCATGTAATAGTCACCAGTTTGTGAGCTCACTTTGCAAAGGAAGTTTCAATTTGCTGTTTATCCAAAATTTTCTTTTGCTCAGACCAGGTATTTTTTAAAATAGACTTTATTTTTTGTAACAGCTTTAGACATACAAAAAAAAATTGAAAAGTGTTAGTAGAGAGTCCCTATACACCCTGCTCCATATAGTTTTTGCTGTTATTAATATCTTGGGTTAGTATGACATACTTGTCACAATCAATGATGCATTATCATTAACTAAAGTTCATGTTTTACTCAGATTTCTTTAGTTTTACCGACTGTCCTTTTTCTGTTCCGGGATTCCATCTAGGATATCACATTTTATTTAGTGGTCTTGTCTCCTTAGATGCTGCTTCACTGTGACAGTGTCCCAGACTTTTCTTTTTTGTTGACCTTGACAGTTTTAAGTAGTACTGGTCAGGCATTTTGTAGAATATCCTTCTATTAGAATTGATCATGATAAGATCAGGGTGTAGCAGCCCAAACGTGAAGACTGTGGAGATGGGCTTCACCTTCTTGAAGGTGGAGTATCTACATAAATTATTGGAAATTTTTTTGCACAGATTTCAGACAAGATTAAAAATAAGAGGAAGGAAAAGAAACTCACATTCACTGAAAGTCTCTCAAGAACTGGTACCTTTAACTAAGGTAACAATCACCACCAGCCCTGTGATATAAGCGGTATTACTGGAATGCTACAAAAAAACGAAGATTGAGACTTAGAAATATAAAATTACCTGGTAGAAATACAGTCGACAACTGTCAGAGCCACAATTAAAGTATGTCAGCTGTAGCATTGCATATCAGGAAGAGAAAATAGATGTTCTCTACTCAGCCTTTAAGATGAAACTGATGGGATGTCTCGGAGAAGTGGTATAGCGTAGTGCTGGAGAGTGTGAGGTTCTGAATGGAAAAGCATGAGCTTTGGTTTTAGCCAAGGTTCTTACCAGCTTTGTGACTTTGGTCAAGTTATTTAACCTTTCCAATCTTTAGCTCCCTCTTATGGAAAATGAGATTAGTAACTTCATAGGATTTTTCTGAGGATCAAATAATTAATATAGAGTCCTTGGTATATAGCAAGTAGTCAAAAATTTCAATTACTATCATCATCATCATCATCATCATCAACAACATTTGAGAAGTAGATAGCATGTGATTTCATTAGCGGCATCAATTAGTGTCACTTTCAAAGAACTTTAATTGTAGGATGCAGAGTTATTTTCATTTTTCAGCATTTCCATAAATTGGGACTGTTTCTCAGACATTTTCTTGGAGCTGCAGGTGAACTGTTCACTTTCATGTAATATGAAATATATGGTCAGTGGTTCTCTCTAAAGAATGTTGTGTTAATGAGGTTAATTTCTGATTGGATACATTACATGAAAAAAGATGCAGATTTTTAATTCCTGATCAAAAGTCAAAACAATCTTGCAGAAAATGTTCTAAACAAGATAGTCTGACTTGGTAATGTACGTTAATTCCTGAGCTAGTAAATACTTAGAACCAATGGTCACTTCGTTATTTCAAGGTGTTGTATTTATCACTCTAAAAAAAAGGACTTGTGAAAAATAATATTTAGAGCCTAATTTTTTATTATTTATGGAAAAAAGAAAAATGTGCTGTTCTCAGGGACAGAAGTAAATTTTTATAACGTTATTTATATTCATTTTCATTTTCATTTCAGTGTGAACAAAACACATTGCTCAATTCTCTATCCAACGGCAACTGCAATGGTGAGTTAGCTTAAAAAAAAAAAAATCCAAGTGTCCTGTCTTGAGTATAAACCAGAGTCCTCTTTCCTTCTCCTCCCATTCTGCCTCCCTCTACTGTCCTCATCTTCCTTCTCTCTCTGCTCCATCTCCACTCCCTCCCTCCATCTCCTTCTCCTTTCCTTGTTCTGCCCTTCTCCCCAGTCCTCCTATTTCTACTTCTCTCTTCCTCCTTCCTTGTCTGTCTTCTCTCCCTTCCCTCACTCCTCCTTCTCCTTCCCTTCCTTCTCCTCCATCTTACCTACTACTCATTTTTAGAATTAAATTTAAGTAAAGATGGGTAGACCTACACAGGATGAATTGTAAAACTTTATTACAAGGTATTAAAAATACTTGCAACAACAAAAAAATACTTGCAACACTTAAGTAAATGGTATTTAGAAATAAATGGAAGGGAATTGCAATGTCCATTGGTTAGAATACTCAATATTGAAAAGGTATCAGTTTTATTTATGTTGAATTGATTTATAAATATAAATTTAATCCTTATTAAAATTCCAATGGGACATTTTAATGGCAATGGACAGGCTTATTCTAAATTTTGTATAAAAATTCCAAAGACCAAGAATAGACCAAGATGCTCTTGAAGTATGTGAACAAGGGGGAGAGAATGTTTTCTTAACTGTCAAGATATATTATAATGCTCTCATAATCAATGCACTATGATATTGGTTCCAAGATAAATAAACAGATCAGTAGGACAAAGTAGGGGCCTCAGAAGGGGAGAAAGATCCCCCACATACTAGTGTTCAATTTGGGACAAACTGGCCCCGCAGAGCAGTGAGGAAAGGACAGTCTTGCTAATATACAATGATGAGACATGCCTACAATGAATGAAATTATTCATTGTAATTCACACACCATACCACCAAATCTCTACTAGGTGAATCAAAATCCTAAGAGTGGTAAACAAAATAAAAATTTAGATTCCCCCAAATCTAGAGACAACTGAAATATCTTTATAATTTTGTATGATTTTATAATAATCTTTATAAATTAATAGTATAATAGATAAAGAAGACATGGAATGTTTATATAAGAGGATAACATATTGTAATACTTACATTACTGTATAAAATATATTCTGAGTGAATATATAACATATAGAATAGAATAAAATAAATGCTATATAAATACATGAATGAATCAACAGCATTGACCCATATCAACATGGGTGTAGCTCAGATGCCATCTTCTCTGTTTTTTTTCTGACTTTTTGTGGCAAATTGATTTTCTTCTGCTTTATGCTCTCAAAGAATGTTTGCATAATACTGGTATAATACTGACTCAATGATCACTTCTTGAATGTCTTAGTCTCCTGCTTATCTGGAAACTTTTTAAGGGTGTCCTCCCCTCTGTCTCACTAGCCCAGGCCCACTTTTCACAGAACAGTAGCTGATGGGTGCCATCACCTTTGCTGGGTCCCTTCTGTGGAAGTCAGAACTAGTTGATACTAGAACTAATAGAAAGAATGTTTCTTCCAGTATCTTCCTCCTCTCCCTCTTTTGAAACCCCCTGGTCCTATCATCTCTTCTCCTTGTTCAGAAACACCAACCTACTCTCCCCTCCCTGTGCTTAAATGCTAACGGTACGTCTATTGTACATGTTCTTGATTTTTTCTTCCATTTAATTACTAAAACCTATAACTCTTGGTTTTATTAACTTTGTATTTTCACTTCTGCAACTCTGATTCTGTCCTTAATCATGTGTAAAGTGAATGAGTGGGTTTTTTTTTGTTTTGTTTTTTCTGCTATGAGATATCCTTGGCTTTAATCCATGGATAGAAAATATCCAGTGTCCTATGCTCACCCCAGACAGAACTAGTAGAATTACTAGTAGATCAAGGCACTTTGTCCTATGAGCGGGGGAGGGGGGTGAGGTGGGTGGGTGGAGGGGGTGGGGGTAGAGGTGGGGGAGTGAGCCCGAGAGTCTTCTCAACCCAGGGCTGTAGGAAGCTACTGCAGATGGTTGGTATTGACATGCAAGGTGAGATGCAGTTGCCATCCTACCCATACTCTGTTCTCTGATGTAATGACAGATTAATCTTAAATCACCGCTACTTTAAAATCTGTCTTAAGGGGGCACCTCGGTGGCTCAGACTGTGAAGCGTCTGCCTTCCTCTCAGGTCATGATCCCAGGGTCCTGGGATCCAGCCCCATGTCAGGCTCCCAGGGCAGCAGGGAGTCTGCTTCTCCCTCTCCCTCTGCCTCTCCCCCTACTTGTGCTCTTTCTGTCTCTGTCTCTGTATCTCTCTCAAATGAATAAATTTTTAAAAAATCTTAAAAAAATTTGTCTTATGATTCATCATAAAGTTTCCCTTTTGAGGATCAAGTGCCTTCTCCTCCTCAGCACGGCACCTAAAGCTCCTCCTTCTCTTCTTGAACTGCTTTCCCTTTTATTCCACATTACACAAGTCCTCCATTCATGTCAGATAAATCAGTTCATGGTCCCTGTATCTAATTCAGTCTTCCCTGGCTCTGAGCCTGTGTTTGGATTCTCCTGAATAGAACCATCTCCTCCATCTGCTAATTCAAACCTTATACTGTCTTCAAGATTTAATAGAGAAGTAAAGTAAGTTGGAGGACACACTACTTGGCAATCCCATTAGGCAGAAAAAGAAGTCAACCAGACCCGTACAGGGGAGCATACTGCCAGCGTGCGTGGAGTTCAGTATCTTCAGCTGTGAGATGGAGATCATAGTAGTAGAAAAACAGAGATACCACATGCTTCACTCAGTCACATAATGTCTTATATGGTTACAGGTTGTTCTTTTTCTGCATCTTTTCCTTCTAACTAGAGCTTTAAGGCAAGAAATGCATTTTGAATTCTCACTGCATTATCTTTCGTTGTCGAATGAACACTTAGTCAATGAATGAAAATTATAATGATAGATGATATGTGTACAGCACTGGAAAGTTTTCAGAAGACATTCTTGATAACTCTGAAATAGGTAGTAAGTAAATACTGTACTTCCATTTTCAAATAGGTGATAGAATACTCTTCTTTTACTGATGAAGAAGTTGGGGCCACAGGGGCTGATTCACTTGCTCTGAATTGTGCAGTTAGATAGGAATAGAGGCAGAACATGGGTCCCTGTTGCAGTCGGACAGGCATACAGAAAGAGATGCTCAAAGCTCGGACAGGAGAGCTTGGTCTGAAAGCAGCCTGCAGGGAGACAAGCACCGTTAATACCTCTGCTTTGGTTACAAGGCTATGAAAATGGAGGGAGAGGATGAACTCGAAAGAGATTTCAGCATGTTGTGAACACAGCTGGCGCTGTTTGGGTGTCGGAGGAGGGGAGAGGGCAAAACAAACAATGATTTGATTCTGAAGCTTTGAACCTCTTACACTAGGATGACATGGAACCTGAGGGAGAAAAAGGGAAGATAAATTTACTTTGAAGGGTGGTGAATCAAAGATGCTGGGAGGTCATCCAGGAGTCGTGCAGCAGGTTTAGGGGGAACACCAAATAGATCTGGAAGTAACTAAATCAAAGGGAGACATAGCTGAAAAGGGAGTGGGAAACAGAGAAGAGAATAAAAAAAATCCACACCCTCCACAATAATTTTCACAGACGGGGAAGATTCTTAGTTGAGTACATGATTGAATAATCAAAATATATGAAACAAGCTATATAAATGATAAGACGGCAGTCATCATATTTGTCTGAATAAAAGCAAAAATTGTTCAAATGTGAAGAAATATTCCATTATCATTCCATTTGAGGAGGTTGTGTCCCTAATACATTATAGTCACGTTATGCCATTCCCAAGAGGCACTCCTGCACACGTCTCTCTTAGGCTTCTGGTTGGCCAGCTATACCTCCACCCCCTTCTTACCCACTCAACTCTTATTCATGCCCCACATCTCCACTCACGTGTTCTGTTCTCTTCATTCCTGCATCCATTGTTTCCTGTCCTGTTTCCTCAGCAAACTGAATTTGAGTTTGTATTCACTGAACATCTACTAGGTTGTGGGCACCATGGTAGGTGTTGTCGGCTCAAGGCTGATGAAAGTAGGCATGATTTCTGCTATCACAGATCCTACAATTTGTCTAAAGCAATTTCCATGCCTTCACCACCACTCCTCACTCCCCAAACCAGCAACCCAGGTGTATTGGTTTCCTCTTGCTACTGTAAAAATCACTACAGACATAATGGCTTAAAACAACACACATATATTATCTTATGGTTTTAGAGGACAGAGGCTCAAATGAATCCCACAGGAGGAAATCAAAGTTTTGGCAGGATTATATTCTTCCTGGAGGCTCTAGAAGAAAATCCATTTATTTCCTCGCTTTTCCCAAATTCTAGAAGCCATGTGCATTCTGTGACTCCTGGCCCCTTCCTCCTTCTTCAAACCAGCAGTATGGTGGCATCATCAGATTTCTCTTTGACCTCTTCTTCTGCCTCCACATCTTCTCTGATTCCCACCCTCCCATCTTCCTCTCATAAGGACCCCTGTGATTACATTGGACCCCCTCCTGGATAATCTAAGATAATGTCTCTATCTTAAGGTGCTTAACTTAAATCCACATAATTCTTTTTGCCATATAACAACCTATTTACAGGTCTTGGAATTAAGATGTGGACATCTTTGGGGTCATTATTCTATCCCCCATACCAGGTCACTCTTATATCTCCTTAGCTCTTTGTGCATATTTTTTTCCAGCCTTCAGAATATTTCAGATTACTAGTTCAGTCAACTGGTTTGCTGGCTTTGTTGTGAGCCTATTGAGGGCAGAGAACATCATCTCTCTTGTTCACCATTCTACTTGCCTTACTTAGGACAGCATTCAGAGCCCTGAATACGCCCATATTGACTGACTGCTTGAATGAATGAATGAACAAATGAGATGCTTGATAATATGTGCACATGTTTTCCAAAGAGAATGTTGTGGTTTGTCCTAAATATTTCATAGTTCCCTGTTTTCTTGAGAAATTAGAGATGTAAATCTGCTTCTCAATAGTTAATTGATATCAACAGAAAATTCCTTCTCTTAAAAAATTATGAGTGACTCACAGACTGTCAAGAACCTTTTGAAGTATATGAAAAGCACTCCTAAATTATGCAGCTATGAATACTTTTTAATTAAAGGAGTTAATGAATATTCTACAGGAAAGAGCTAGATTCCACAGTCTGGAGTTAATTGCCCACCCACACCTGATGTTTAATTTCTTTCTGAAATGTTGGTTTTTGTAGATAAAGCCCATCATTTACCACATTCCAAATGGGTATAGATTAGTTGTCTCCTTTGCACATGCTCCAAGCTTACCTCATTTTGCTTAAGGCAGGATATTAGCTGTGAATTCACTTTCCTTTTTTCTATGATGATGTGATTTTTATTGCACTGGTTGATTTACTTAGAAGCTTAAAACACAAGGTTATAGCCATAAAACCAGTACAATGGCAGAACTGAGAGGGTCGTGTGTAAAAGAAAACTTCACTTATTCGTGGAAAGATTTCAGAAGTGTCCATTGTCTTTAAATTTTCATTTGAGTGAATTGGTAACTTTACCACTAAAGATGTCTTTTTTATTTGGAAAAGGCATTGTGAATTACTTCTATTAAAATAGCTTACTTAAATAATAACCTACAACTACATGGCACAATTCTTTTGTTTTACTTTATTTTCCTTCATTTGAATGGTCTGAAAAAATGCCGTATTTTGATGAGGGGAACAAGAAGGAGGAAACTGGATGAAAGACAAAGCAAGCCCACTGAGACGACAGAAGGGAAAGTTTTGTACTGTTAGTGATAAAACCCAAACATTTTTATACTTAACAGCCTATCACCACTTAAATTATGAAGTAACCATGAGAAAATGTAGAGAATGACAAGTGCAATTTATAAGAGAAATAAGTGTGATGGGTTAGGGAAGAAGAAAAAATTGTTTCTTAAAGAATTTTCTGTATGTTTTACCACCATTTTCTGGTCATTTAGATCCAGTGATCAATCCCTCTAAATAATATCTAAATAGATTGGGTTTTTTTCGCAGTAATATTGAGTTCAGATTGACAGATAGATTTCTTGTGAACTACTAGTGGCTTCCTGAAGCAGGGAGTTGATAAAAATTCTAAGATCTTTGACCTCGGTGGAAAAAGCACTGTGATTGATCAGCCATTTCTGTCTGGCTGAGGAATGGGTATGATAGAACTCATGCCATAGTGTAATAATTATAGATAATAATTTATGTGGCTTCTTTCAGAAAAAGCAATGCTTTGACATTCTTTTGACATTTCTAAATAAAACAATTCTGGTATTTTTTTAGATTATAGTTACTTTTTTTCCCAAGCTTCTCTTGTAGATAGTACCAATGACAGTTATGTTTTTTAGTAAGTAAATAATAATGAAAACGTTCTCAGAAAAGTTCACATTTTTAATTTTTGGAATTAAATATTAATGATAATTTTTTTCCATAGAATTTTTTGAACTAAGAATTTGAATTGTAGCTTATTTTGAAATATAAACTGTTTTGTAAAAGACATATGTCATTTGTTAATAATGGTGCCATAAATGGATGGAAAATAGGCTATAGAGATTCTGATATCAAATTTTGTCATCATTGTCATTTTAAGATTTCTTGCTAAAGATGGAAGTGGTTTAAGAAATGTATTAGCGGGGCACCTGGGTGGCTCAGTGGGTTAAACCTCTTCTGTCTTCGGCTCAGGTCATGATCTCAGGGTTCTGGGATTGAGCCCCACATCAGGCTCTCTGCTCAGTGGGGAGCCTGCTTCCCCCTCTCTCTCTGCCTGCCTCTCTGCCTACTCGTGATCTCTCTGTCAAATAAATAAGATCTTAAAAAAAAGGTATTTAGTTAAAGCCATTGGATTTTTAAAAATTACTGATTGTATTCCTTATATTTAATAAGCATCTCCACCTTTAAACAGTGAAGTGCTGGTAAATAACAAGAAACTCTTAGAACAGGGGGCACGAGGTAAGTTGGTGGAGTAGAACTGATGTGTAGTATTTGCCCATTTCCATGGTGTAAATATTTCTACCATGACTGATTCCAAACTACCAACATGCTGTCCTTAATCTTGGAGTTGAGAAGATATGTACACAATTGACATACTGAAGAGATGTCAAGAGAGCTGGTATGAGCTGGCCCCAACCCAGTACTGCCTTTAAAGAAATCACATAAATTTTATTTCTAAGACAGGTATATTTGAAAGTATCTTCATAGAAGCCATTTAAGTATTGATTTCCATGGTACATTGTAAACATTAGTCTTACTAAAACTTTTTATGTCTAACTTTGTGAGAAAATGTCTAATCTATTGTATACATTTTATATATGGATATCATGAATTATTGAACATTTGTAAGAAAGCTTATCTGGTAATTTAATCATTAGAGGGAAATTTTTATACTCTGAAAATTCAACAAAATGTTTGAATTGGATAAAAGTGTGCTTATGAATCTTAAAAAATACTCAAGGAAATACATATCATGGATCAAATAATGAGCCAAATGTCTTAGAAGCTCTCTTGACATCGATGTAGTGATTCATCCTCTGTAATTCTAAGCAAAATAAAGTAACAGTATATATACAGCAATTATTATAGTACCAACTTATGTGTGTATATATGTGTGTATGTGTGTATAAATATGTGTGTGTGTGTGTGTGTGTGTGTATTTATGGGACTGAGAGATAGAAGGAATAAAGGTCAGTCAGCATGCCACCATTTACCTTTGCTTCAGATATGTATTTTTCTTTTTCCTGTGATCTTTCAGGAGATCCTCTCTTATCTCTGATAGTGAGCAGGGCATATTATATCTGAGGATATAAATAAGAGTCTTTGCATTAGTAGAGGTAGGTTCCGTATTTAATGAGGCAAATAATGAATGAGAGTGATTACTACTGAGTGGTCAGTGGATGATCTCAGTTATGGTTACTCCCAATTTTGTTTAAAGTCCTAATTTGCTGTTTTGGGCCAATGGAAGCATAGCCTAAACCTACACTTACTCCTTAGCCCTCCTTTCTGTGGGAGAAATAGGAAAACAGAAGGCCTGCTGGAGTGCCTAGCACACAGTAGGTCCTCAATATATGCTGGTTGAGTGAAGAGGAATTTGAAATCTCAAACTATCATTAGTGTTCAGTTACAGCTGTCCATATGGAATACTCACAGTGCATCATTTCTCCTTTTTGGAATCATACACATCCTACAAGTCTACTTTGCCCGAAGCCTTGAGTGATCACTCCACAGACTTATTCTTCTTGTAAATGTCCATTCGTCTTCATTTATCATGTCATTTATATACTAATCTTATTCTTGGCACTCAAGGATGAGCTTCTAGAAGAAAGGGATAGTATTTGACTTGTATTACCCTCTACCATGTTGAAACCTTGTAGTTTGAACTACATTTGAGCAACTATATTCAAAAAGTTTCCCTGAATGGAGTACCTGCTCAATACTTATTATTTCAAGTAATAAATATAAGTATAGATCTAAAGGTGAAACTTGGAAACAAATCCTATACCTGAATACCACTTTTCAAATACATTAAAATCACTGTGTGGCAGTTCTCTTTTTGCTAGCAGTTACTGTGAAAAGTAAATGTTCAGTGTTTGTTCTATATTTTCCACCCACCTCTTTTTACCTTTAAGCAGCAGTATTAAAAAAATAGATAATTTCCCTTATACTTCCCTCCAATGCTAACTGAGAAACAATAATATTCCCATGGTTTTGTAGCCACTATAGATGAAAATCATGGGTATTTTAAATAGCAAAACTAGTCCAATTAAGAATTTATTTCTTCAGAGAATTTCATAATCACTAATGACCTAGAATTTATTTGATAGATTTTGCCTACCAACTTTACATGGTCTATTCTGAGAGCCATAATACTCTTTAGAGGGACTTTAGACATGGCCTGTCTGAAACCATGTCACATGAGGAAACCGTGGTGGTGAAGATATCAGCAAATGAGAGGTCAGGATCCATGATGTCCTGAGTAAATTTTTCTCCCTCAGGTACATTCAGAGGCTGATTTACTGTGAACAAAGAAAGCTTCATTTTTTAGGGTCTCTCTTACAAATCCCTTTCATGCCCAAGAGATAAGCCCCAACGATGAATCTTTTCCTTAAAATGTGACCCCAAACTATATTAGCTTTGGACACCACAAAGCAGGGCTCTACCTCTGGTCATGCCCATGAAGGAAATGGTATGATAGTGTGGAAGGAGTACTACTCAGGATGCCTGGAGGCCTCGATTCCAGTCTGTCTTTGTAGAGGACTTGCCCATGTTCTTTCAAACCGTTTAAAATGATGGCTGAGTTTCAGCTTGTCTCTCTGTGAAATGAGAGGTAATTAACCCATCCCATCTTCCTCTCTGAGTTACGTAATTAGTACCTGAAGTCACATTTGAGTAATTAAATGTTAAAGAGTTCAGAAGTAATCTGTAATTAAGTGAAAAACATAAAAACTGAAGAGTGTTTGGAATCAGTCCTGTTAAACATGAGGTGGCTATTACACATCTACGTTCAGCACAGCCTGCAGCAGACATCTCTGAGAATTCTCCCTAACTCGAGTCTCTGTTTCTCCTGCAGAGGAAGCGTCCCAGCCTGGTCCAAGTGAGAAGTGCTTTTTAATCCTGGATTGCAGTGGAGTGACTTTTTTTGACTATTCTGGAGTCTCCATGCTTGTTGAGGTATTTACATAGCTTGTGTTTGGACTGATGCTTTCCCTTTTCTGTAGTAACAGGGCTACTCTCACAGCCCCAGGGTTTTGACTCCACTTGTTTCAGTGCTCGTCTCACCCATTCTCCCCAAAGGACATAGAACTTGACACCTCACACTGCCATAGAGTTGACTTCAGGAGATCCCATCAAGCTTCCGGTGTGTGTATGTGTGGGGGCCAGCGGTGGGGGTAATCACATGGGGTGATCAGAGAGAACAGAACACAGGCTTGAGATGTCGTGGGCATAGTGTCTGCTGGGCAGTCAGCTTACAAGCTTCTGAAAAGAAAAGTCCCCTCCATGAGAAAGTGGCCCTGGTCATGGCAGGATCTTTTCTCTCACCCTCATGGATGGGTGTAGTTTCATTTCACCAGATACCTTATCTGATCTCTCAAACAGTCCCCAGTGTGGGAGCTTTTCTCCATTCTGTCAGATGATAGTGTTTACTTCTCTACCCTGTGATCTTCATGGTGTCTCCATGGCCCTGGTGTGCAAAACATAAAACTGATTATTTCCTTAAAATGAACATGGGTCACAGGACATTTCCACAGGAAGAACAACACCTAATTTTTCCAATTCAAGGAAAACTCAGACACTTCTGGAATTTTCTTCTTCTGCTTTTTTAAAAAAAGATTTTATTTGATTATGCGTCAGAGAGAGAGCACCCACAAGCACGGGGAGTGGCAGGCAGAGGGAGAAGCAGGCTTCCAGCTGAGCAAGATGCCCCATGCAGGACTCGATCCTAGGACCCTGGAACATGACCTGAGCTGAAGGCAGATGCTTAACCTACTAAGCCACCCAGACATCCTTTTTTTTTTTTTTTACTAAATACTATGCCGACAGGGGAAGTTACCTCCTTTCTCCATTTGTTCTCTCCCTCAGTGTCTTGAATTTGTTGGGGGAGGGTCTTGAGGATGGAGCTACATCTGTTCCTCAACTGTCCTCAGTCCTCTACCAGCTTCTGCTGCATGGAGCTCGGCCTACCTGTCTCTGGGTATCTGCTCTTCATGGGCTCTCTACTCTGCTTCATAGTCATGGGTAATTTTGTATTCTGCCAAAAACTTAATCAAAATCATATGAACATTTCTGGAGATCTTTCTCTGCTTATCTCCCTCATTTCCATTACTCTCTCCCACTGATTCTGCCCACCTAATCCTTCCTGAACTCTACTTCCGTCTGCTTAGCTCAGTGAAGCTCTCGCATTTTACTCAGGCATCCATCATTCTCTGGCCCAGAAGCTGCTTTGTGCAGAAAGCTGAGCTCCTAGGGAGCTTCTCTCATCTGTCTTCTTTCCCTCAGGGCACTCAGTCCTGTGCTCCCTGTTCCCACTGTCTGAAAACAGTTGTTTGTATGTTTTTGTTTGGTTGTCTACTTTTATGGAGTTTGGGATAGTCTTGTTAGTTACTCATCAGGGCAAGATGTAGAAATTGGAACTAGAGCTTTAAAGAGTTAAGATCAGTAGTTTTTGGACAGTTTCACATTATGGGTGTTGGTTGTTTTCTGTGGTGTTGCGTAACTGTGCCTCTATCCTTTTATAAATATAAAATTGAAATGTCCAGACTTCCAGATTTAAGAAAGTGCAAAGTCAAAAAAACAAAAACAAAAACAAAACACACACACACCAAAAACAAAAACAAGAAACACAGTGCAAAGGCCAACTTCTGTATCGCTTTCCTATGAACAAAGGGTGAGAATATGGGTAGTGTGTGACAGTCGGGGTGTGGTCCTAGTACTATCCCACTAGCTGTGAGGCATGAGGGATATCACTAAGCCCTCTGGGTCACTGTTTATGCCCCTCGTAAAAATGAGGGGAGGATTTTGTCTCAGTATGAGCAGATATTTAGAAAGAAAATCATGTAAAAATGGTTGAGTTTTAAATATTCTAGACTTAAATCTAGTGGCTGTTTTTGGTATGTCACCCTTTTTCCCCCCATATAATATGCTTTGATTTTCTTGTTTCTTTCACTATAAAAACTGCACAATTTGGCATAGTTCAACCTGAATACGTCATTTTTCTTGCATCCAAATCTGGACTGTAGACAGATAGTTCTTGGCTGTTTGGCCTTTCTGTTTCCTCTGCAACACCAGGGTCTAGAAGAGTGCTCTCCAGTGGGTGTGCAGAAGGGCTCACCTGGGTTGCTTGTTGGCCACGTGGTTATCTGGATCCTAGTTTTGGTCCAGGAATTTTTATTTAAACAACCACAGGTGATTCTGAGGCAAGTGGCAATAAGGCAATAAGATCATATTCTGGGAAACACTAGATTAGGATTGTCCCTTTACTGGGAAAGACCAGGATGTACAGTTTTGGTTTAATTGTATTTTAAATTTATTTTGAATATGCTCAAATGTTTATCAGCACCCCTCTCTAGAGATTACAAATCAGTATTAGAGTTAGTAAACAGGAGGAAATGGTTACCTATCCCCACTAAGGTTAAGATCTAAAGTTGAAAATTCAGAGGAATCCAAACAACTCAGGTATTAGGCATGTTGAGAAAGAGTTTTTTTTTTTTTTTTTTAAGATTTTATTTATTTATTTGACAAAGATCACAAGCAGGCAGAGAGGCAGGCAGAGAGAGAGAGAGAAGGAAACAGGCTCCCCACTGAGCAAAGAGCCTGATGCAGGGCTCTATCCCAGGACCTTGAGATTATGACCTGAGCTGAAGGCAGTGGCTTAACCCACTGAGCCACCCAGGGGCCCTTGGTTTTTGTTTTTTCCATTCATCTTCATGGTTTTAAAATACTACACAATGGAATCATGAGATAAATTAGCTAATGCATTTTATTTTTAGATTAGCAAAAAATAACATTTGCTCTTGGCCTAGTGTTTCCTGTCTGTATATAGGACACCAGCGGCTTTGTTTCAGTTTGCCCTTTTTAATTTCTTTATTTCTGTTTGGTTTATTTCATTATGATTACAGTAAATTATGATGTATATTAAGAACATTGGCTTTAAAGATAGATAAACCCTGGCTCCGAGTATTAGCCATATAACGAGTTTCATGATCTGGGCTAACGTATTTACTTTTCTGTAAGATGAAAGTAGACATACCCGCTTCATCAAGTTGTGAAGCTTTACAGTGATACATTGCAAGGAAAGCACACAACAAAGTTTTTAGAAGTTATTAAGTGCTCAGTAATTCTAGCTTTTATTATTTGTTTTCATTTTGCAAAAGTAATTTCTTAAAATGCAAATAATACTATTGTTTTAGTTTCAGCCACTGAAAGAGGGTCTAGAGTAAAGAACCCCAGGGTGTCTTGAGCCATGCCTGTCTTCCTGCTTCCTAAAGTTCCTCATTTATTTCCTTAGTCACTGTAGTGCTAGGAACATGCCCCTGTGAGTTCTAGGTTGGAGGAAATGGGATGACTTCTGTTTATTCTTCTACTTAGGACACCAGGAAGGTCAGTGAACTGGAGATTATGTTTATCAACATCAATAAACCACCTGTAGCAATGTGTTTGAGCTTTCTGAGCTTGAGGAAAAAGTCAAACACTGACCAGTCACCTTGAATTAGTCCTTTTAACTTTATAAAAACAGGAGCCATTTATTTTGGCCAAGTTTCAGTCCATGTGTTGTTCGTTTGTTTGCTTATTTATTCATGCTCAGAGCGACACATCTCTTATTATTCTGCAATTCTTCTACCATATAACTACTTACTGCCAGAAAAATATAAGGGAAAATTTTTGAATGTATCATGCAAACTCTTACAATGTGTTGTAAATGCTTTCTCTATTTTGTATGTAAGATACATCTCTATTACATAACCAAATCCATCCTACTGTTGCTAAAACTTCTCATTTTATTTTCACCAAGTTTCATGGATTGACTTCTGTCTGGGTGAATTTAAAGTCTGGGCATTCGATAAGTTGTTCCTCCATGGTGTTTTCTAGGACCTGAATGAGGCAAGCCTCCAAAATACACCAAGCACGTTAGTTAACATCTCTCATCTTGACGGACCTTTAAAAAAGGGAGGTTGGGCAATCACACTCGGCTTTGATTCTGTTAGTTCTCAGCTTACCGTCCATGGATGGGATTTGAGAGTCTACGAATATGCACAAATTGTTGTAAAATATTAAACTAATCAGGAGGTCAGCAGTTTTCATCACTTTTATAAGTGGTCCTTGACTTCCAGGAAAAGAAGGTTGAGAACAACTTTCTAGCATTCTTACAGGGAAGGAAATGTGGTGTTTTAGTTTTTATGACATGAAGTTTCATTTATTAAGTAGCTGGATTTAGTTGCCGGAAAGGTGAACATCCTGCCGCCTTAATGGTGTTGGCTAAGGCTGTCTTTTAGAAGTTTGCCAGGGTGTGCCCGACTGTGTAGCAATGTCTCCCTCTGGTGGTGTGACATCGGACACATTGGCTTTTTTGCTTTTAACTAGGAATTCTCCTTTTTTCTTAAGCCCATCTTTTTCTTCCCTGCCTGCTCTCCTGTATTAATTATGGGATACTATCTTCATTCCCCCAGGTTTATAATGACTGTAAGAGCAGAAGTGTGGATGTCTCGTTAGCCCATTGCGCAGGTAAGGGAGGATTCTTGACTAACATTGAACAGGATCCTTCTGCCGCTCCAGCTAGCCTTAAATTACTTGTGTTTTCTTGTAGCTTCCTTGGTAAAAGCAATGAAGTACTGTGGAAACCCAGACTCAGAGAAACCAATTTATTTTGATTCAGTATCTGCTGCACTAAGTAACATCTACTCAAATAAGGTGAGCCATGCAAGTTGGCATGCAGGAGTTATAAGAAAAATTAGAATGTAGAATCCAGGGCTTTGCTTTTTTTTTTTTTTTTTTTTTTTTTTTTCCCTCTCAGAGTCTTCTGCTGCAGTAAAGGAATGTTTCCATTCCCAACTTGGATCAGTTATGAACACTGTTTAATAATTTGGGTCTCCAACAATATCATGGCTTAGAGGATTTGGGGATCACCCATTAAGTGCAAAGTGCTTGCTTGTAAAAATAAATGCTTCTTCCAGGATCTATTATCCTGGGAATTTGAATGTACCTCTGTCAAATGCTAAAACTTTAGATTTAGTCTTATATAGCCTTTTTCTGCTCTAACACTCTTACCTCTAAGTTCATATTGGCATCCTTGGGAATATTATTTGCAGAGCCCAGCATTCCCATGATGTGAAGCATCACACTTATCCTCCAAATACTGGGCTTTCTAGTTAAAGAGCAGTTCCTAGAGCTTTGATTTCCTGCAATTTTTCTTTGACTTTGAATAGATTTGCTTTTCCCATCCCTAGAACAGCATTTGGCACTTCCCAGAATCATCCCTATCACATTCAGTCAGAATAGTATATATTTACAAAATGATAACAATGACAGAACAATTATTATTATGATGATATACCTGACATTTATTGAGTATTCCTTATCTTGCAGAAATATCCTAAGAGCTTTACCTATATTAATTCATTAGACTTGCCACAACCTTATGAGGTAGATACTCACCAAACTCTCATGCCTCACAGAATGTCTGTCTGCTTAATTTGGCTGGACAGCTTGCATCAGTTGCTACTGTTCTTTGATTATGGTACCAATTTAAGAGTCGAACATGTGCTTATTTCTTCCTCTTCTATTTTAGAATTTGAGCAAACTCAGTGATCACAGTGAAGTCTGAGACCCTTTTGCTGCAGTTCAGCTCTTGCCTTTAGCAACTGCCCTGAAGAGGCCGTACTCTGGCATTTTGCACAACCTTTTTTGTTGTTGAGATCCTGCAGATGACCTCGACTGTAAGGAGGATGTGACTTAATGACCACGTAGCCACGGGTCGAGAATTTACCAGCAATTTTTCCTAATCTTTGCTTGTAAGCATATTTACTTAGTAGGTTATTGTAGAGTTATTTTATAAAAATTGGTATGCATTTAGTTTTAGTGTACTAAAAGGTAAACATGAATTTATTTCCTTTGCCACAGTATTTTGTGTTTTATTTCTGTTTCGTTGTAAGTAAACTTGCAAAACTGAGAAACACTTTGCATAAGAGATTTAGAACATTTGCAAGACATTTGTAAAAATCCAGGATCATCTGTAACTAATACATAAAAACAACTTAGCAAATGTGCCATGTTCCTCTCCAAAAAACAAGCCAGTAAACATCAATAAGATTAAATGTTTCTTTACAGTATGATATGAAATTCACAGAAATTAACTCCAACAAAAACAAATGGCAAACTAGAAGCCATTGTTCTTCATGTCTTTCCATGCAAGGAAGTTTTCAAGACTATTTTCAAGATAACCAGTGTCCCAGTGAAACCAAGTTCTTGATAGTAGTCTGTGTTACTCTGAATATTGGAAATGCTTAGTCCTAAATTCTGCATTCCAAACCCCAAAAGTCTCTGTTTTTACCTTAGGTTTCATTGGAGCCAGAGCATATGGAAGTTGCACGTTTTATATTTTGTCACAAATGTGATTTTTAGATGAGAAAATAAATAACACCAGTAGAATAGCTTTGTGCTATTCTAATATACAATTAATTGTAGTAGTTTGGAACTTTCCTATTTCAGAGAAACAGCCAATATAATATAATACATTTATCTCTCTATCCACTTAGGTCTCCATTGTATGTTTTTCTTTCTCTTTTGCCAGAGTAGAACTTAGATATGCAATTATCTGTAAAAATACCACCAGGATGACCTGTATAAATTATTGTTTTCATGCTTGTATATATATTTTCAATCATGTACAATTACACAGTTTCATATTTTTATCAGGCAGTTGGATACACTTATGAAGAAATCTCATTTTCAAAGGTAGGTCTGCTTCAGTTTGAAGGTATTAGAACTATTCTTGAAATTACCAGTGTAACAAAAAACCAGGTACTTTAAAGTACTTGAATTTGAAAAGTAGGTTGAAAACAAAACTTAAAGACTGGTCATTTGGGTATTTTTATGGGCATCTGTAGGAGAATATGCCTGCCAAGTGATATAAAGGTCCCTAGCAAATGTGTGGTGCACATTCACATGGCCCTTAATTTTCACATTAAGTCATAGAAGGACAATGTAATAAAATGATGGGGAATAATAGATGTTTTGAATCTCATAACTTACCCCTTCCATTTCAATTTTGGTTGACATAAAGAAAAAGAAAAAGAAATGTCTTTGTTCTAAAGGAAGCCTTAATCCTCTCATCACTGATTTGGATTAAAATGAGTGAGGACAACTTTCATTCTCATTGCTTATTGTTCCAAGAATAAGTGAAAGTAATAGTTGGAGGTAAAATTTCTTTAGAGAAAGGAATTTCACTCTGTTTTATCCATTTAAATTATCCCAGTGGTGGATGATTGCAAAATTTACCATCCAGAATCCATTGATGTTGGCACATAAAGATAAGTCAAAGAAAGTTAAGAAAAGAAAATATAATTTGTTGTTTATAAACTGATATTTTGCTGTCCAACTTTGACCTATAGCTAAAATCATGCACTGCTGGCATTTTATAATTTGTTAGGGATTATAGGCCATGGATGACCTTGAAATCACTACAGGTAATCAGTGGATGCTTTGTTCTATTTTATTGTTAAAGGTGACACAGTATTGTCTGAGCAGGTGTATTTGAATGCATTTCAGTGTTTATGTAGAAGTTTAATGGATAAAACTTTGAGGTCATGAACTTGAGTGTCAAATGTTAATATTTTCCAAAGTAAAGGAAGACCAAACCACGCACCATGTAAAGCTCTTTGTTCTGTCTTTTTCTGCATACAAAATCATAATGACTGTTAATCTGGAAGAATTCCTTGGAATTCAGTTCTGAGAATCCAAAGTTGAATATAAGTTTTCAACACACAAGAATCTAAAATACACATACTTATTTCAAAGCAAGCATTAACAAAGGAACTATAATATGGTCTTGATGATAGAATGTTTCTAGTCATGCTAAATTATTTTTATGAGTTCACCTTATTTTTATATATGATAAACTACTTCCATATTACTTATTATGGTAAAATAAAATTAGAAAAAATTAAAACTGACCTATAAGAGTGTTAAGGACCTAATAGAGTGACATATATAAATTAAGCATAAAATATGAAACCAGGAAAAGACCGTTAACATTACGTTTATGCAAATTAAATGCCCTTAAATTTTGCCATTTGTCTTTCATTTTAAAGGTTATTTGCCCCCGATTATATGATTCAAGTGTTATAAGGTCTAGCTTGAACTACTTTGTGGTAATTTATTTGACAGTTCTCTATTCTATAAATGCGTAATGTAATGAGGAAAGAGATCTTTCTTTTTTAATGAAAACATTAATGTGTTAATACCTTGTATGGATAACGTTTGACATTTAGTGGTTACCAAAATATATTGGTATGTTGTTGAACATACATATGCCTTAAAAATGCATGTTCTGTATTCTGTGGGATGATGATCTAATTTGATATAGCATATGCTTTTTGGCAGTGAGTTTGTTGCCAGATTTCAAATAGGGAGTTAAGTGATGCCTTCACAATCCAAAGATTTTTAGTTAAAAATCATGTAGTCTAATATGTCACATTTATTTTTTTATATTTTTCAATGCATTCAATTATCTCTTTTGTAATTCTTTGTACTAACTCAGCATGTAACAAGCAATTTACATGGAAATAAATTGAAATATAATAACTATTATGCTTGAATAGATTTGTATCCATTATTTCCAAGTATTTACTCTCCTACAAAGCAAATAATACATATTGCTTTCTTACACTGACCAGGGTGTGTTGAAAATTCCTGGAAGCATCCATTACACTTGGTAATTTGTTCTTACAAAATATCAATGGTAAGGTATTATCCCTTCATCTATGGACCACTAATAAGGGCACTTTCTGCTACGAGACAACATCTATGCGAGCCTTTCTGCAGGCTTGCATCTGTTACATTCTGATTGTCATTTTCTATTTGTTTGGGTTCTTCATTTATGTGTTGTTGTTAATCTCTTCTGAGTGTCTAGGCCAAGGTCCGTATTCTTCAGCATTTTAAAAGTTGACACTCCAAAGATCAGAATCTAACACATGCTTCTAGGTTTTAGAGATATAGCAATGAATAATGAACAACAAAAATCCTTCTCCTCATGGAGCTTACATTCTAACAAGGGAAAACTGGACATCAATGGATAAATGTAAAATATACTTATTGTAAGTTAGATGATAATATGTGCTAATAATAAGAATAATGCAAGAAAAGAGGATGGGAAGTATGGCGGAGACTGGGTTTCCTAGACAAGGTGGCAGGAACAGTGACTAGTGGGAGGTCTTAGTCTGTTCAGGCTACTGTAACAAAACAGCACAGACTGCAGGACTTCCACTAGAGACATGTCTCTCTTCAAGTTCTATAGAGAAGATAAAGATGAAGGTGCCAGTTTTTTCATGAGAGATCTTTTACCGGTTTGCAAATGACTACCTTCTTGCTGTGTCCTCGCATCGTGGAGAGAGAGATTGCTCCCTACATCTTTTTATAAGGATACGAATCCTATCAGCTTAGGACTTCACCTTCATGACCTCATTTAACCATATTACCTCCTTATAGGCCTTGTCTCCAAATACCCATAGCCCACATAGGGGATTAGGGCTTCAACATAGGAAATTTGGAGGTGGAAGGAACGATTCAGTTCATAGCAAGGAGTTCTAAATTTCTTAAAGAAAAAAGAAAAAAAAAAGGAAAAAACTTTTCTTTTTGGGGTGTCTGTGTGGCTCAGTGGGTTAAGCCTCTGCCTTTGACTCAGGTCATGGTCTCAGGGTCCTGGGATCGAGCCCCACATCAGGCTCTCTGCTCGGCAGGGAGCCTGCTTCCCCCTCTCTCTGTCTGCCTCTCTGCCTGCCTTTCTGACTACTTGTGATGTCTCTCTCTGTCAAATAAATAAATAAATAAATCTTTAAATTTTTTTCTTTTTGTGTCTGAAAAACAGGATTACTAGAATTTTATGTTTAATAAAATGTAAGGTTTTTTGCACCAAAACATGATAATCACAAACGATGCGGTTAAAGCATTCCAATACTAGAAACAGCAGGTTAGCATAGACATTGCTAGCTATATCTGCTGCTTAAGAGAAGGTTCTGAGTTGAAGTGGTGAGAAGTGGGTTGGCAATATACCAACAACTATTCAGAAATTGAGCTGTGTGTTTTAGTGATGGTCCCTAATGATTAACAATTAACAAAGAAGAGAGAATTGAATTAGCTAATTTTCTTTTAGTCATATTATTTTGAAGAAAATACCAACAGAGACACGCTTAATGCTGCCACTTGACACAGAGACTGGCACAGAACATTCTGGATGCTAACTGCAGTGAGAGGCTCCACTTTTTTGTTGTTGTTGTTTCTTTGCTTTGAGTTTTTTTTTTTTTTTTTTTTTTTTTTAAGAAGGAAAGGATGCTAGGTTATTATGAACTAGCTAAGTGCTATGAAATGATCTCCTTCAGAGTGGACATTATATACCAGTCCTTACTCATTTTCTATTGATTTAGCAACTGGAAGGTCATTTTGTTCAAATGTATCTCCTTTTTGTCCTAAAACATAAAGAAGCACTCTCTCTATTAAGTATAGAAAGGTTTGTAGTATTTTTTTTCTTATTTGGAACCTCTGGTTCTTATGGTCACATTTAGAAATTAGCTAAATAACAAACCCAGTAAGAATATATACTTATTAATTGCTACAGTAAAAAAAATGTTTCAATAATAAAATAAGTGAAAATAAAATGAATTCTATCTTTATTTCCTTTGCTTCTAGAGTTACTTTTTCCAAAACCCTTTTTGGTTTTGAAGGAAGTTCTGCTGATGTAAGGATAGAAAAGTGAGGAAAGAGAGAGAGCCTCTTTTAGACTATAATGTGTTTTCCAGGTCAACTTGCATAGTTAAGTCTCCTGTTCCTATACTTCCTTACACTTTGATTTATATCCTAAAAGGGTTCCCAAGCTTCCCTCTTTTCTTAAATTTGTAGTAAGGGTATTACTGTTCTAAAAAGGTGCCTTTACTTGGGCTAAGAAAGCCTGAGAGCATGCAGGGCAGGGAGGGCAGGGAACACAGTGCCTGGGCATGGGATAGGTTTGGAGGAGAGAGAAGGATGGAGGGTAAGGGCAGGTTTGCAGAAGGTAGTGCGTCTATGAGGAAGAAGTTGCCTGATATGACTGCATCTATGGTGGTATGATTTCAGCAGTATCTAGATGTCTCCTGAGTCCAGAGATTTGCTTTACCAGTCTTCAGACCAGGGGTCTGAAGTTCTCATCATGAGTCATTTATTTAAGCTGAAGTAAATATTATAAGAAAGGAAAAACACATGTAAGCCATTGCCATGCATTGTGTGAACCTTAGGAAGGACTATTTCATCAAATCAGCTTATAAGACTTTGTCATAATTTTGATGAGAAAGGCTGGTTTGAGACTGTTTGGAGCTTAGGGTGCTGCTGAGGGTGGGATTAGGAGTGGTGGGGTGGTGTTAAGATGCAGGCTGGAGTGGCAAGTGGGGGTCAGATGGTGATGTTGGGGAGGCAGGCTGAGCCTTATGCCCCTGGCATTCTTGGATGATCAGGGCCTCCTTGTCCCTCACCCCAAAGACACAGACACAGTGGAAGCAGAGTTCATGAAGCCAAACAATTCTTCCCACATAGCAGCTTTTCCTGGGGCTTGGACCTATGCCTTTTGCTTTGGCTCT